CTGGTACAGGACTGTTGGTTAAAGCACATACTAACTTACCAGTTTCCCCACTCCTGTGTTCATGGTCCGGAATCCAATGTAGGATCCGCCTTGCACTCAGTGTTATTTATTACCAGCGTTGGTTTCATTTTATATATTTTGATTACTTTCTTTAGTAGCAAATGATCCTGGTTTTTTATTTATGGCAACGATGTCAACGATGCATCTCCTTTGAAAACATTAAGCCAAATAAAATGACATGCTTAAAAAAAAAAAGAAAAGAAAAACAAAACAAAATAAGGAGAAGAAAATCAAAAGTAAAAGTGGTATATAAATGTGGTCAAACATTCCCAATTTCCTCCGGGTTGGCTTTGCTTGTAGGAAAAATCCTCCCATGAGGGAGAAGATGGTCACCAGTCACAATTCTCTCCCCAGCCATTAGAACGGACATTTCCAGTGGAATGGTCAGTGGCTGCCTATGAAATGCTGACTACATTTGCATGACTGATGTTTTACCAAACATAAAACCCAGAGGTGACGGGTTCTGGAATCAGTCAACACCTAGAGGATGTCGGGAGACCTGAGCTCCTCTCACCTTTCGGCATCCTCAGCACGCCAGCTATTGTCCTTCACTGGATCATGCTGGGGCTCCAAGATGGCACCCTCAGCTCTAATCCTCAGATCCTTCAGCAGTTGTGTGTAAAAACAGGAAGGAAGAAAGAAAAGGAGTCTTTCCCTTGAGCATTTGCCCATGGGTTTCTCTCCCATGGTCAGGGAAAAAAATATTTCCCAGAAACCCCCTTGCTGGGATCCCATGACTGGGTCCCATGGCCACCCTTGGCTGCAAAGGAGTCTGGGAAAGCAAAGACCTGGGCACGGGGATTGGTTAGACCCTGGTGGGTGGGTACAGGCCAGTTTTAAGCTCTGTGAAACTCCAGGAGAGTACAAATTGACCAATTAGATATATCCTAGCCCCCCTCCCTGAAAAACAGACCTCAGAACCACTTGGGAGACCAGGCTTAAATTAAGACTCCTTCGATGATTGGCAGTACGGTGGCAGGGTGCGGCCCCCTTCTTTCTCTCCCCATCCTCAGCTCCACGTGGAGTCTCACACTGACAGGCGGATGCTCCAGCCTCCAAACGCTTGCCTCTTGGCCACTCCAGGACCCCTGGAGGAGAGTGAGTTAGGCCGCAGGTGGGCTTGGGGATGACTGCACAGGAATTTGGGGGTACCAGGTACCCAGAGCTCTCCTTTGCCATAACGAATGAATTGTTTTAAGCAAAGGCTGAAACACTTCCTCCGGCCATTTGAGAAGAGGTTCCCACAATGAATCAGGGCCACAAGGTGAGTTGAGAAAGTGGCCATGGAGGATGGGACAAGTAGGCTCCCACAGCCTTCTGTCCCAGACACCCGGTCAGCCAGGAAGCGACAGCCCAACTGGACAGCCCCTTTTCCTATCTCTTCATTCTTCTGGGGCCCTAGGTTTCCATAGCGACTCTGTTCTCCTCCTTTCTGCAAGAGCTTTCTAGAACTCAGCCCCACCTCTCTGTCTCTGTCTTCCCCCTCCTGTCTTCACGTCCTGTGATCTCAGAGCTCCAACATGGGTGCTCTCCTGACCTCCCCCAGCAGCCCTGTGACATGCTCACTGGAACCTGCTTCACGGTGAAGAACGTGAGGCCCCGATGGGCTAACTGGTGAGTGGTGAGGCTGAACTTCAAGCCAAGCTGGGAGGAGGGAGACGCATGGGATGGAGCTGGAGTTTGTCTCCCGTGCCCTGGCCTCCTCCCCATCCTTAGACCTTGCCCGAGGAGCTGAGCAGAGCCGCCTCCATCTGTGGACCTGCCCTGAAAGTCAGCTCTCCCCCACCATCAAGGCTGGGATCCTGCTGGTTGTCACGATGAACAGCCCCAAGAAACCATGCCCCCCAGGGCCAAGGATCGATGATGAAGGCAGTTCATTCGTCAGTATCTTGAATCCTCACGGAGGCCCCAGGAGGTGACTGCTGCGCTCTCCACTTTAAAGACCAGGGACAAAGGCTCTGAGGAAGTTCCTCAACTTCCTCCTCTCCCTGGGCCACTTCTTTGGTTTCGTCCTCTCATATCCTCTTGGAGCACTGCCCACTTCCTAGGTGGATACTGGCCTCCAGTGCCCTCTGTTCCTCCAGGGGCCAGAAGATGGTTGGAACCAGCTGGGCTTTGAAGGGGGTACCCTGGTTGTGGACTTACCATGTGCAGGAAGTCTGGCAGGAGATTGGCTATTCTAGGGCCCTTCTGATCCTTGCAAAGTGAGGTCCAGGGCAGTAAAGTAGCTTGCTTAGGGCAAAGATGGGGCAGGTGGGGTGTCAGGCCTGGGACTTCAATGTTCCTGCCAGCTGGCTCCCTGCCAGGGAGGTGGGGGCCTGCTGTAAATGTGTACAGGAGGGCTGTCCTCCTTTTATCAGTCTCCTTCCTTTTCGTTAGCACAGACAACAGATTCTGGAATTCTCTAGCCTCTCTGAGCATCTGACACCAGGAACTTGGAGGTTCCTGAGTTCTCCATGGAATCAGTCTCTCCCAAGCTCTCAAATGGGGTCCACGATCTCAGTTGTTCTGGAGCTTCCTGCAAAGGAGACCAGGCAACGAGGCAGAAAGAGTCCTGGGTTTCTGAACGAGCTCTGGTACCGACTGTGTAACCTTAGAGAGGGGAATTGCCCTCTCCGGTTCTCAGCATGGGATAATAATGACCCCTATTTCATAAGCTTTGGTGGAGGTTTTGTTGCTGTGCCCCTCCCCTGACTCAGGCAATGGCAAGGCCCTACTGAGGTGGATGGCTCAAGGCGTCCATCCTCTGGAGGAGCGCAGTATGTTTCTGGGAATGGGCTGTTTTTTTTTTTTTTTTGTATTCCTTTAATAAGTAGAGTTGCGGCTTCTCATATGACCATTAAGTATGCAGGAAAAATCATGACTTTCCCAATTAATGCAATTACTTCTAAAAAATAAATCTGTTTGCTCTAAATGCAATGATTCAGCTGTGGAACGTAAACTGTTAATGTTTAATGAAAAACTCCCTGCATTCCTGTCGAGGAAGTCTTTGAGAAATTAAATTAAAATCTAGAGAAGAAGAATTAATGTTAAGAAGACAAATTAGTGCTTAGTACTGGGCAACTTGTTCTTGTTCCTGTGCACAATGGTTTGTGCTCTTACTCTTGTTTGATTAAAATTAATAGCCTCTTTTTTTCAAGTTAACCACTTGCTGTAACCATGGCACCAGTTCTAGTCAGTAAGTCAAGAAAGAATAGTCAAGGTACAGGCCAATAGTCTGGGACATTTCTAACTATTATTAAAAGTTAACTAAGCAGAAACAGCTCAAAGCAAAACGTGAACTGAAAGGAAAAACACTTGCTTATGCCTAAGCCAAGAGACATTCTTCTGATCTAATTGTAGCTACGTCATACTTTGTTTCTTTGAATAATGATTCCTGTTTTGTAACCACAAAGTACCTGTGAGCCTGCCAAAATGAAAAGTGTATATGATTATCTTCACAATTAAAGATGGGGATTCAGCACCTTCACTTTGGTGTCTGTGTTGTTTCTCTACCCCCCTTTCGCCAAATCTCACCATCCGTTCGTCTCCTGAGACCCCCTGTTGGAGCTGGACTCCGACATTTTGTCTTGGTGAAGGACTCAAGAACTGGAGAGAACAGGAGTGGGGGAGGAGTGGGGAGAGATATTCTTTCCCTGTCTAACTGGCTGCCATCCCAAACTGCACATGCCCGAGGCCAGCTCGGGAGGTGGTATGGACATCTACTTATCCTTTGGAGACAGGGTGTTCTCAGCCCATGTGGCCCAGCTTACAAGCGTGGGTCCACCTGGGCCCACACTCTCTTCCTTAGTACCTGAAGTTGCTTAGCAAGTACCTTATAAGAAAACATTTAACATTTTGAAGAACTAAAGAATAATGGGTTGCATACACACGTGTAGACTTCTCTTGGCATGTGTCCTCGGGAATATGACCCATGTCGGTTGTTCTGGGGCCCAGTGGGGTTCTCTGCTCTTGAGATTTCCAGGACTTTTAGTAATAATTCAGACTAACTAGCTCAGTTGGGGGAAAAGGAAGCTCCGAGAATAAAAGCCCTTGCTCAGCAGCACATGAGCATGGAGCCAGGCTCAGGCCCCCCTCCCCTGACACCATGAACTGTGCTCAGCTGGGGACTCTCATCCTTCCAGGAGGAAAGAGACAGGGAAAGCTAGTGCACGGTGCCTGGAGAGCCTCTGTGAGTTTCCAAGTCTGTTCCCAATTATGTGGCCTTTGGAAGAAAATAATGTGTCGCTTCCGCTGTCTGTTCCCCTGAGCTCCCATGTCCAGCCCCAGCTGAGCCCCCCCACGGGAGGTCCTTCCCTCCAGCAGATGCCTTCTCTCTGTGGAGCAGCAAAAGTGGTCACAAAGAAGACACTGTGACTCTCGGGGCGAGGCTGGGTTATTGGTGGGGACCGTTGTGTTTATGAGGCCTCTTATCTTTATGACAGAGCTCAAACAGGGACATGAGATGCATTAACAAATACAACACTGTCCATAAAGACTGGGTTCTGCTGTGAGGGATTGCGCACCTGCTGTGCAGATGCACAGGGACAATCCTGTAGCCCCAAGGTTCTCCCTTAAGTCAGGGGCTGATGAGTCAGAGCAGAGAGTCCCTGTGGCAATGCTGAGAGCAGTGCCCAGTCCCCTGCCTCTCCCGCCTCCCCAGATCTTGCTTGCTAAACATGGACCCCTGCAGCCTCAGAAGGAGCATCCCTCCCTGCAGTGTCCCTCCCTGGGGCCGACTCAGTGGGAGATCCCAACAACAAGAGCCTTAGGTGAGTGAGGATGGGCGCAATGACATTGGAGGAAGACAGAGGGTCTTGCGGGGGGTTCCTGCTTCCCAGAAGGGGAATGTGGAAGAGTCAGGAATGTGTGCAGACTGCCCCCCAAACAAAGCACCAAACAAACCAAGAAAATAAAACCAGCCACATTAACAAAAAAAAAAAAAAAAAAAAAGAGTCGTGGTTCTGTTTGTTCTGCACTGAGGTCAATACTGCAGTACTTGCATCAAGTGACACAGGAAACCAGGCACCATGGAGTAAGAGCAACGGGAAGCTCCGCTTTGTGGCATCCAAGCAGTTGGTGCCTCCTCCCCACCCGCCAACAGTTTAGCCACGCTACACCAAGGGCAGGTGTGAGCCCACTGTCCCAGCACAGAGTTCTTAACCTGAGTCGGCCATCCTAGCTTTGACATGCAAGTCCGGCTGGCAGTCATCTCCCAGGGTTCGTAGCCTCTTACCCTGCTGGCAGTGAACGTCAGGGGGCCCAAGAGGCAGAGGGGCTGCCAGGGCTGCCAGGGCCCGGGCCTCTCAGGCGATGGAGGCAATCTGGCTATGTTTCTGCTCTCTGCAGAGGAGAGTCCTGGGGCAGGGCCAGTGGCTGCCCTGGCTGTGGGGGTAACAGCAGAACAGGGTGGACATCAGCAAGGCCAGGGCCATAATGATGGCCAGCACCCACCGGATGACGCCTGGGTAGATGAAGGGCAGGATGAGGATGATGAGCAGGACCAGCAGGAGCAGGTGCACTGCCAGGCGTCGGGCCGCCACGCGGTTGGCACTTGCCGCATCTTGCTCCTCTTCTCCTGCCAAGCTGGGGTGATGCCCTGCCTCTGAAGTTGTGGCACCCGCCAGCCCCTGGGGACAGAGCCGCACTTCCAGGCATGGCTGGGCCAACTGCCCCACCACCGTCTCCTGGTCACGCAGGCTGCAGATGAGACCTCCAGGGACAGTGGTGGGCTTTCGACACAGCGGGCAGGTGACCACCCAGCTGTCGTCCTGCACGCACAGCAGGAGCTTCAGGCAGACGGCACAGAAGGTGTGCTGGCAGCTCAGCACCTTGGGGCACCGGGCGCAGCTGTAGGGCTCCCGACACACCAGGCACTCCAGGTCGCCTTCTGTGGAGCCACGGTGACATCCGGTGGACCCCGAAGTCACGGTGGCGGTGGCAGTAGCTCCTGCGGAGATGGGTGGCAGCTGTTGCTGGGCCTCCGTGCAGGACATCGTGGGCACAGAGCCGGTGGCAAATGCCTGCTGGGCACCTGGGCATGGACGGGAAGTGTCAGCCAGCGCCTCCCCGACTTGGGTGGATCCTGACCCCGTGCCGGATCCCTCCAGCCTCCCCGGCCTGTGACAGCAGCTATGTCCCTTTTCTCCCAGGACTGCCCGGCTTGTTTCCGGCTGTTCAGTGTCTCCTCTGTTATTATTATTTCTTTACTCGAAACCGAGGGTTAATCAGTAACTCGTGGGCCTGGAGACTTTGAATTGCCTGATAGGAAGGCCAAAAGGGGCAGGGCCTAATGAATCAGGACTTTCCTGTTGGGGCCAGGTGGCTGGTGAGTGCTTACATGACCGGGTGGCTGGTAAGCTTTGGGGTGCATCAGCAACTCCCTTCAAACCCTCTCTCAACCCTTTAAAATACAGATGCCTAAGCCTCCGATGCAGAGATGAAGATTTGACAGGTCGGGATGGGCACCTGAAAGTCCACACCGTGAGCCAATGTCGGATGTGGGTAGCTGGGGAACCCCACTTTGAGAAACGCTGCCGAGAATCGCTGGGGACAGAGCCGCACTTCCAGGCACGGCTGGGCCAACCCGCCCTACCACAGTCTCCTGGTCATGCAGGCTGCAGATGAGACCTCCAGGGACTGGGCTGCCATGGACCTTTTGGGTGTCAGGGTCAGTGGGAAGAAGTTTGTGCTCTGAGCACATTTGCAATCCGTTGGCCTTGTTAGAAGAAAGAAAGAAAGAAAGAAAGAAAGAAAGAAGTGGTAGGAAAAGAAAAACAAATCAGGCCCCGCCCCCAGGTGCTCACACTCAGTTCCCTTTGGGCCCTTAGAGTCACAACAACTGTTATCAACGGTTATTGATTCCTGAGCATCTCATTGGTGCCTTCCAGGCACAAGCACCTTATAATAGGTGTCATTAGTCTTGTGCCTGGCCTTCAGGCCTGCACCCAACTGTCACAAGCGCACCTGCCCTTTATTTGAGCCTGCTCCTGGCCAACCCTGTGCCCTGGGTCCTCTGTGCGCTCAGATCCTGACCCCATAAGGAAGGCTTGGAAGCAGGGGCAGGGTGTGGTCAGGGTAGGCCTGCTGGACGTCTGCCAAGGGGCCTTCCACAGGGGCCGGACCTACCAGCGTCCAAGGTATGGTCCCCAGTCTCATGGAACCAACCCCATTGATTCGTGCAGGTGCAATTGGCCTCCGGGCAGCTGACTCAAGCTGGCAGGCCTCACGTGGGCTGGCAGATAGAAGCAGCATGCGATCAGGAAAATGTGACTCTTTTTCCTTGCCCTGGACACCAGAAGGGTGGGGTGTCACACCCTCTCCCTCAGCATGCAGGCCGCACTGAATCCAGAAAGATGTGCTGAGTGGTCCCTTGCTGCTCATGTCACCTAGCACTGGTCACAGGGTGTCCACCGCTTCTGATTCAGCCCTTCCCTTCACCCCAAGGGGCCCGCACTGCAGCGCTGTGTGCCAGAGCCCAGGCGGGCGAGGGCTCCTCTTGCTCCTCCTCCCCGTCTGGGCCCTCTGTCTCGGAAATCCCACCCTCCATCATCCCATCCCGCTTCTCCTCAGCCTTCAGCTCCACAGTCAGTTACTCCTCCCTAACATTTTCCCCCACCTGAAGGGGGTCTTGGATGTAGCCCTAGGCATCTGTGCCCAGCAAAAATTCATTTTCCACTTTGGTGGCAACAGTGGCCCTTTTCACCTCAGGCAATCACCGCTCCCCACCACCCTCCAGTCGTGGCTCCACTAGGGCCAGTGCCCTCCTCCACCTCTGCAGGGGCTGATGTGATGGGATTCAGGCCAGCCAATCAGCGGAGTCCCTCCTGCTGGCTGCAGCCATTGGTTCAGGCACAGACAAGTGAGCTAAGCCCAGCCAATGAGATTCAATTCTGGGACTTCTGTTGGAACTTTGGGGGAAGTTTGCTTTTCTGCGGGGTTTCCAAGCTTGAGGGTGGAACCCGAGAGCTGCCAGGAGCGCTGTGTGCACAGACTCAATCCAAGATTAAGGTCAGGGCCAAAGAAAGATGAGAGAAAGAGTCAGACAGACAAAGGCCAATGACATTATTTGAACAGTTGGAACCAGCCATGTCCAGAGCCAGCTAGCTACCTTTGGATTTTTCAATTGTGTTAACTCAAAATCGACTCCAATATTAATTCGTGTGTGTGTGTGTGTGTGTGTGTGTGTGTATGTGTGTGTGTGTGATGTGTGCTGGGGACTGAACCCAGGGCCTTGCACCTAACAGACAAGCGTCCTGCCCTTAGAGCTAGACTCTTAGCCCCAATTTTTATGTTTAAGTCAGTTCAAATTGGATTTCTGTTCTTTAGGAATGAAAGACTTTGAGCAACACAACGGTACCTGAAGAAAAGAAAACTTTACTTGCCCTCAGACAGGGTCAAGTATTGACAGGACAATCAGACTTTGTGCACAGCCAAGAGTGACCTGAGACCTACTGTGCCACAAGAGACCATATTATTCCCCTGCTTTAACTTGCATCATATAATGTTCTTTTAGTTTTCTAGACCCTCAGAAGAAGGGTTGGGGATGGGGGCCACATTGATAGATAATGAAAAATTGGAAAGCAGGTAAACAATAGCTAGATGTCAGCTTGGCTAGTATCTCCCCCGCCCCATTCTAGCTCAACAGGAAGCCACATCATCAAAAGGTAGATGGAGGAGGTGGAGATCAAACCAAGGGAAGTCATCTGGGGTCAGCATCTGAAGAGCACCTTCCGATGTTAACCTCCATCAAGTAAACATGTTGGTTGCTACGCCCCAAATATCACAGAAATATACAAGGTAGAACTTGAAAGTCCTTTTTACTACTACTGCTGTGAAATGATCTGTTAACAGCATGTTCCTTCATGTTCTCCTCCTACCATCCTGGCTTGGGAACAACTTTGTTTTTAAAGGCGCCTTGCCTAATTATTATCCATACCAACTTTATTGTTGGAAATCCGGCTCCCGTCACTTTACTAACCACATGATCTTGGGCCAGAACTTCAACTGCAAGGAAGCTCAGTTTTTTAATTCGATAAAAGGCAGATAAATAACACTTCAAGGAAATCATGGAAGATTATCTAACCTCCCTTAACCCCACTAATACCTGTTCAGTAATTTATGCCCCCGTAGGTTGAAACTGACCGGAGTGTAATGGATCTTTCCCAGGAATGTGATAAGAAGCTTTGGTGATGGCTTAGCCAGGGCTTCTTAAAGGTAAGTGATGTGGGCGGGCTCTGGGCATACCTAAAGCAGATCCGACTCTTGGAGACTGAAACTGTCACATGCACCCAGATTTCACATTCTACTCTGTTACATTTGTGCTTGCTGTGATATGTGAGACCTGAAACATATGCATCCTTCCACATCTCCAAAAAGAACATATTTGTTTGTTTTAATTGCTGTACAAATATGAACTCATTTTGTTTTCAGTAAAACTATTTTTTTCCCCCTTTGAAATGCAGTTTCTTCCATCCTGAGTCTTCTCACAGCCTGAAGTGGGGTGGAATTTCACACCTAGCTGCAAGTGTAGAAGTTGAGAGGGGTGGATCTCCTCAGAAGTCACAGGCGCAGGTAACCGCAGACCCTCTCCCTGCCCAAGACATTTCTGATCTGGGCTTCAGTCCTGCGTTGAATTCATTGGCGAAGAGTCAGACGGCAGCAGTGTCATGAGATTAAAGTGGCTGACCCATGCCCTGCCTCTGGGTCTGCCCTTGCCCTCTGCTCGGTTGGCTGCAGAGAGCTGGTGCTCTGCCAAACTCCCATTGCCTGCCAGCTCCCCGCTCCTCTGTACCGGGAGCTCATGTTGCTAACTGAAAAGCCTCTGTGCTCCTCCAAAGTCAACCACAGTTGAAAATCCTCCTTAACTTTGTCAAATCCCAATTTTGTCTTTAATTTATTTGCCTGTGGAGCCCCTCCCTGCTTTTCATGGTGGTGCTGGAGGTTGAACCCAGGGCCTT